TTTTCCATTATCCTCCTCAGGATCAAAGGAGAAGAATTAGTCTAATTTAGTTTAACCTCTAGCCCAACTTGGAACACAATTCAAAGCTCCTGGATTGTGTTACAATGCAAGGGGACCATCATGGTGGAGCACATTTCAGTTGAGACTTCCTCCAAAAAGCTCCCTTTGCCAGGGCATGGAGGGGGACTGGCAACCAGCCAGGGAGGCTGTCTCTATGCCAGGGAGACATTCCTTCATGAAACAGAACTCCTCAACAGTACTAGAAAGGCAATTTTAATTTAATTTTCCACCATTTAATGACACAAAAAGGATATTAATGGACTAAGACTTGATCATCTATTTCTACAATTCACAGACTGGTTTCCCCTTAACTTTATTCCCAGTTTGAACTCACTTTGATCTAAAAGTCATCACATAAGTAGTGTTTCTTTTAAATTTTCTTTGGAAACCCGTTTTTACAGAACTTCACTAAGTGGAACACATACACACAAAACAAACAAAAAAACCCCCACAAAGCTGGAGGGAGATTGTTACAAAATTTTCTTCAGAAACAGAAAATGTGAATGGTGGAAGATAAAACTGCGTGCAGTATTTTGTTTTATGCTTTAGTTTGTGAAAATTTAAGACATTGCCTGCAAACACTTTGAAAAACATAAAAGGAACCCAACTGAGGACAGATGCTTTGCTTTCAAGGCTTACACAAGTAAGCAGGAAAAGGCTACACTGCAAAAGAGCTCATAAATGGGGATGTGTCTGTTAGTTATTCTATTTTGTATTCTCCTGTCTTCTCTAATGGGATAGGTCTCCGAATGTTAATACAACCAGGGAAGAGATGGTCATAAACAAGCTGTCGGTCATAACTATGCTACTGTTTCCAAATCTTCTAGTAAATGGATAAATCCAAAGCTGGATCATTTGCAGTAATAAAGTGTGCCATGTAGGCCAGATTTTTTTCCATGGTTATCAACACAGACTGGGGTTTTGTCCCTTGCACAGCATTGTGGTATGGGATGAAGTCATACCCATACAAGTACAAGGCTCTGTAGATGGCCAGGTTAAAACTTTAAGAGGTAGTAGTATGAAGAAATAAAATAAATCTCAAAATCAGCAATACTGCAAGACTGACAGAAAAATCTTTGCCCCTGAAACACAAAGCCAATATGGTGACTCAAGGAACAAATCATTTATCTTCTACTTGAGAACAAATGGAAAGGCAACTGAAAAAATTGACAGATGAAGAACAGAGGTCAGATTAGAGAGAAACATAGAATGGCCTAGGCTGGAAGTGACCTTAGAGATCATTTTAATCCAGCCTCCCTGCCGCCAGGGACGCCACGTCTCAACTAGATCAGGCAGCACATGGGGACTGAACAGGAATCGAACCCGCGACCTCAGCGTTGTTAGCACCACGCTCAACTGACTGAGCTAACCAGCCCCCTAGCAGTTTAAATTCCACTTAAATTCATGTACATAAAGCTTCCTATTTATTGGCTCTAGGCAACTCCTCTTTTCCTACTTCCCCTGGAAGTTCCTGTATCCCCTTCACTGATTACACAGAGAAAGTTTGATGGAATTCAAACAACTCAAATACATCCCAGGGAGCCTAGGAAAACATTCTTCAGAGCAGAAATTTTCAGATTTTTTTCTTACAGGAGACTGAATTACCTAAGAGAGGTAATTTCAAAGATTATCATCACAACACCCATATGACAACATCACTAATTGCTTAACTAAAAATGCTAATATTGTGAAATTAATTAACGTGTTTTAAATGTCTATACAAAAGGAAACCACAATGTTAAGCAGTCAGCTTTCTGCAGGTGATCACCAACATGTCACATAACATGGATTTTGAGCTTATTATTTCTAATACTAAAGAGTTGTACTGACTACCTTACTCCGTGAATAAAGAGACTCGTGAAACTGATTTTCCTAACCATTTCTCTCTTAAAACCCTTTTGATCCTCTAATGTCTAAGAAGTGAGTTTGTGCCAGTCTTTTCTTCAAAGTAAATACGGGCTTTCTGCTCTCTGCTGATCCTCATTTTCCCCTTTGTAGAAACTTAGTACCTTTGAAATCCATGACATTTTTGGTTGAAATTAACTCAAATACTGTAAATTTATTAAGGCACGCATGCACATACATTAAGTTTCTTAAGCATTGTTTCCATAGGAAAGTACGAGCAAATGTATCTAAAAGCAAACTCTCATAAATCTCAGGGGCTAAATAAGCAAACATTTTCAAAAGACCAGACCCAAAGCATGTATGTTTCTTCTAGTTTAGGCACACAAATACACTTTGTGCATTTGTTAGAGCTGAATACAAAAACCATGTCACTCTTCCTTCATGGGTTAAGCATGGCATTGGCATAGAAGCATGTGTATTTTACATACCCTGTCATGATGCACACATTAAAAAATCCCAACAAATTAAGAACTTCTTAGCATCATAAATGAATGAATGGGTTCAGTCACACTTGTGCACATTACGTTTAAATAAACAGGAACTAAAATATACATAAAATATACTAAAATATACATAAAATATACATAAAATATACTAAAATATACATATCCATAACTCGCAATTGAGAGAGGTGTATACAAACCCTATCGGCATAATAGTGTACTTAAATCCGTCATTGAAAACATTTTTGTTTTAAACTGTCAGGATAAACAAATAATAATTAAGCAAGTCACTTTGTATTAATACAACACCTACCCCTGTCACCGTGCATCAAACTACGATCATCATAATGCTATTCATTAATAAACTGTGTGTCAGCTTTGCACTTTGATACAGATTGTTTTCTTACCAGCTGCTAACGTTTGCCCCGTGCCTGGCTCACTGGTTACGCAACCAATTTGATTGCAGAGAGTAACAGTAAAGTTGTACGTCCTGTAAGGTTTTAATCCCGTCACTACATAGGATAGCTCATGAGCCTCAGCTATATGCAAAACCTACAGAGCAAACAGATGGGAAGACGACAGTTGGTTAATAATATTTTCCTTCCTACTAATTGATGACATCTTCACTGATAAGAAACTAGTCTCTGGATTCGCAGATTCCTTCATTTCAATGTGGAAAAGCCTGCAAAGCCGAACTGAGGGAGAGGATTATTTTGGAGAATCTGAGCAGGCTAGGATTTAGGTGATAACACTTCCCATCACACTGTTTTATGAGGTAATAAGCCAGTTCCTGAGTGGATAAATGAGGAAACAAAGTTATTGCCTCATAAAACTGTGTAGTGGTGCAGTTATCACTACAAACAGTGCAGCTACCATCCAGATGACAAAGATGACACTGTTAAGTGGTGAAATCTGACCACCACTGAATGAGTGACATGATTAGCAGGCATCAGGAAGGAGGAAAATAACAAATACCTACAGATACTTTAATCTGCTTTACTTTAACATTACCCTTCAAGTTATCAGAGAGTAGAACTGAGTAAACTTCTGTATTTTAGATAATTTCTTAACTGGATGTTTATTTAGATGAAAAAAAAGTCTTGCAAGTCTGTGATCAGAAGCAATTTACATTTATGTACCACTACAACAGCCCTAGGAGCAATAGTATCCCTGCTTCACAGACAAATAAACTGAGGCCCATCTGTGGTACCACTGAAAGACAAAATCAGCTCTGAAATGAGAAATACAATATCAGAGCACCAGATCCACTTCCATATACTGATTACCTATCATGTTTCTCTGTTCATTCCTAAGCTTTTAGCTTCCTACTACTGCCATGGTATTTGTTTGTCAAACACAGTCACTCTAAAGTTACAACAGTATTTTAAAGTCATATATTTAGACTTTATAAAAATGTTTTTTCTGCTATTTTGGGTTTCCCCACTTCAAAGACTTGTCCATTATGAAGGAAGCCAGACAGATACCTTCTTAAGGAAAATGTAGATTCCTACAAAACAACAGAGATTTAAGCATATCAGCAAATGGAGCAATAGTACAGAATCCGAACATGCAAAGATCATGGTAATTAAATGTTTCTCAGACTCACTCTTCATAATTTTGAATCTCGCCTACTACTGAAAACAAGTCAGCTCAGGAATACAACTTAAAACTTAATATTAGTTGTAGGACAGCACAGAGCACTCAAGATAAACTGATAGGTGAAAAAGTTAGATAGGAAGATAAACAGCAAACTAGGAAAACAATTCATCACGTCAAGGAATACATCGGACTTTACCAATTTTACTATTACCAGCTAGGAAAAATGTAATGTATCCAATAATAATAATACCTGGGAAAATGGTGGCAAGAACATTTGTTCAGTCATCAAACTGATGCTATATCCCATCACTTCTCCTCTTGCTAAATCTTCTTCAGGTTTTTCCCATGAAACGTTTAGGGAATATGGTGAAAGAGGGAATACTGATGGAGATGGCATAAACACTGGGGCTGAAATAAAATCAATATGACAGCATTCATAATATAAGTGAGTAAAGTGCGTAGTGCAAGCTTTCACATTGTATTTGTAAAATGCTATTTCAGACAGTCGTTATTTTTCTATTTTAAACTTGTTTTAAAGTGTAACTGGAATTTTCTTATTATTTTGATAGTACATAAAAAGTGCCTCACCCATAATTTTCCTGTTTTCTACTCTGGCCTTGAATGCAAAATAAAACTCTGCCTATGTCTTCAAATACTAATTAACACCAAAGTCCTAACCCCTGTAGCAGGTAGGAAATTGAAAAAGTCTTGAAGAAAAAACTTCATGCAACCTGGGAAAAAACTGATAAAAGCAAAAAGTGTTCAATACTTCAGCATCTTAAAAGCAATTTTGTTTGCTAGGCCAGTTTGAAATTAACATGTCTCTCACTTTTTACAAAACAGTTCCCCTGTCTTCCATAGTAAATCTGTAAAAGGACTGTTTGCACTGCAGTTAAATCCCCACCTGATTACTCTGTAATAATAGGATACCAACTCATAGCACTTCTGCTACGTACAAACAACCACACTAATGGACCTCTTCCCAAACACAATTTAACACTTTTATAACATACAGTATTTAAGAACAGATAAGCACAAAGGCCCGTTTTGAAAGGGGAATTTGTTTAGCCTGTTGTTTTGCAGGAGAAAATGACTGAGGACGTGATTTTCAACAGCAAACAAAACAACAGCAAACAAAAGCATCAGTGATGCAATGTGCATACTTAACTGCAAAACATAGTCTCGATCAGCCTAAAAAATTTGGATTTCTTATGAAAACATTGAAAAAAACAGCTGCTATTTCAAATAATATGTCAAGTGCCAAGCCCTTTTCAAAATCTGAACTGAAGCACTGTAATAAGAAGTGTTACGAACTAGTTAAACTTCTGATAAAACTAAGGCTCCGTATTATGACACTTGGCCTCCATAAAGCCTGTGAAAAGTTTCGAGCATTATACTCCTGAAAGAGTAACCCTCTCAAGCTCTTGGAAAAAAAATTTTCCTAACTAGTCAAAGCCTCAGTTTAGGAAGACTCATTACAGCCTCCTTTCTGAATATATGTTCCTTCCTGGACAGCATTCCTGATCCACATCAACCATTAATACACTTGTGTCACAACCAATCTCTTTTCATTTTTTTCTCCCTTTAAAGAACATAAAAATAACAACTGGGAAAACAATGGAGAATTCAAACACTGCTTGGTAGATTTTGCAGTCTTATTGCTTTGAAAGTATGGTTTAATTGACAGGGATTATTTTCTTCAACCACATGATTTTATGGTGAAGAAAATATTTTTGTTTAACATGCTATGTTCTGAGATAATCTGATGTATCTTTAATTAGTTAAAAAATTAAATGTCTGTACTTGAATCATCACTAGACACATTTTATTTTTTTTTAAAAATGCATTTTTATTTAGTTTTTTCTTTTTTTTTAACCAACCAAACTCAAAACAACACTTACCAGCCTCTCCTGTTTGTCCTGATATCCAGTCTGAAGATATGCTACCTGCCATGTTTACTGCTAGCACATAGAATTCATACTCTGTGAATGGCTCCAGATCAGTGACTATAGTACTAGTCTGTGGTGGAGCCAGTGCATTTTCATTAGGAGACTCCATAACTGGTTGAGGACTGAGCCATCCACTGCTTTGGAAAATACGAATTTCAGGAGGAAGAAAGTTCCCAGCTGGCTTTAATTTTTTTCTCATGTAGAGTTCATATCTTATAATTATGCCTAGAAGATAAAACCAAAGCAAAAAAAATAGTGTATTTAAGTGATTTCTGGATGTTTACTAAAATACCAACACCGATATATATAATGAGCTAAGAAGAATCAATCAACGTCATAGAAAATAGAGCATTTTAATTTTTCCTCATTTGTGTTTTCATCCAAATGCTCACTTGGGCATTTATTGCATTACACTGTTTACTTTCCCTTCCCTGCAATTTGGTGATTTGACAGAAAATGGCTATATTGCAGTATGAGTTCCATTACACTGACCGGAAGACACTACCCTAAAGTTCAGATCAAATGTTACTGGATATTAGTTCAGACCTCTGATTGTCAAAGGGATATTTAAATTGTTATTTATTTGTTTGTTTGTTTTACATAATGGGCGGGGAATTTTTGAATGAAAGTTTAACCCTGACCTTTTAGAACATACTGCTGGATAGGAGACATGTGTGTTGGTTTTCCATTAATGTAGACCTACTACATATGCAAGAAAGTCTCGCCACTTGGGGAAAAAAAGCCAAAACTTCAGTATTGTGGTATGAAGTGATATTTACGATCTAGGCTGGCTCATAGAAGCAGTTTAACTGTAAGAAAGCTGACTGAGTACATGCTACATGTCAAGGGACAAGTGCTAATAACAAATATCGTGACCTGTATTGAAGGAACTGCCCCTCTAAATACAAGTAGGAATTCCTGGTGTCCCATCTGGTAATAGCTGGCAAATGAGCCATTTAGGAGAAAGCTGAACTCACCATACACAAATGGCCATTTTGCAAAAATGCTTGGTTTTGCATGCACAAATAGCTGTGCATGTAAGTGGAAGTTCACAGAACTCCATTGCACGTATATTAAAAGATAAAATGTTTACCAGTAAATTCTGTGGCATCACAAAAGTATCCTACAACAGCTGCGTTCTCAGTTTCAAAAACGTAAAATATTATTACAGAGGTTAACCAGAAATTCTTGGCAATCACCTAATCCCTAACAAAGTTATACTGCTAATAGAATTAGTTACTACACATGACGGATGGTTTTAAAAACAGACTTCTCTGTTAATTCTTAATTTTTTTTCCATAACTGTTATCTGCTTATTTATTCTTTGTCAGGCAATATCATCACATCTGTCTGAACTACGCGATCTGGCAAGTAAGGAAAAAATTGATTTTACTGAAAATGTTTAATTATGAATGTAATTTCTGCTGCAGCAGATGTCACTAAGGGCTAAATCCTGGACCCAACACATTCAGTTGGCCTTCTGGACTCCAAAAGAATAACACAAAGATTCTGAGGACACATTTAGTGGCAGACAGGTAAATTAAGACAATGCCTCACTTCATTCTCAGTTTATGTTGCATGGATAAGGATATTCTAAGCAGATTTGAGAAAACGCTCCTTTTTTTTGTTTGCAAAATCTTTGACTTACAGAGGCAAATACATTGTCCTACCATTTGGTTTCTCAGGTGATGACCATTCCACAGCCAGTTCTGTAGAGCTGATGGTTTGTATTATTGGTGGGTGTAGCCCTTCTGGAGGAGCTTGTGCAGTAATTACGGTTACCGGTTGGCTCTTTAAGCAACCTCCACTGGTACAAGCTTGCACAGAAAAAACATACTTTGTAAATGGAACGAGATTCCAAATAATTGCTGAAGTTTTTAAGCCTTCATACTGACCACAAGGCTGAAGATCAACCAAGGTAGTACATGTCAAAATGTATTTCTCTATGGGGCCAGAGTCATTGGAGGGGCTTGTCCAGTAAAGTAAAACAGAGTGGTGGCTAACAGGCAAGGCAGGACTTAAATCCAAGATTCCTGTAGGCATCCCAGATTTTGTTCTATATGTCACTGAGGCACTTCTTGTAAAACCATGGACGTTGCTGGCTTGGATGTAATAGGAATAGAAGGTATATGGAGATAACATGGTATCAGTGAAGGTCTGAACACCTAAAGCAGGTGAGAAGAAAATTTTATCAGTTTAACACATTATAAATAATCTGAATTTGTGTACTTAAAGTCTTTCCAGTCCTACTCTAAGACATATAATACTCACAGCGATTTGTACGCTCTTCTTGAGATCATTATGAACATTGTAACTTCTCAACTTTTGCGTTTCTTAAACAGGGAAAAACCCCCTCCCCTTCCCCCTTTATTATCTTCCACTGCGCATTGGCTTCAGTAAAGAAATAGTTTTTCTACTGAATTTCTCCTAGTTCCTGTTTTAACCATGAATAAGATTATTATAATTATCTTCTTATTCCTCTTTTGCTTGGAAATAATTATTTCAAATGTTAATCAGCATGGATAATAGTGGATCTTACTTAGAAAAAAAAAATCTTTCATTTTCACACCTTTGTTTTTGATTCACTTCGTAGCACAAGATCAAATATTTTATCCTTCTGTGCTTTCACTTTGTCATTTGCAAAATATTGCTTAATAGTTGGTTGGTAAAGCATTTGATCTTGGATGAAAAGTGAAACGGAAGTGCAAATAATTATTTAAAAGTTATATCCAAAGCCTATATTTACCTTCCTCACGCTCTACTTTCTATTACTCTAGACAGCTTTATAGCAGCTTTTTAGCAGCATGACCATGAATAGCTCGTGAGTACATCCCAGAAGCCATTACACATCTTAGTCATCACAGCACAATATGAATTTATGTACAACCATACCATCATATATTGTTTTGCCTTAAGAAATAGTGAACACTGAATAACATATTACACGCTAGAGCATAGATACGCATGCTTTTTCAAAGCAAATGGACAGGACAGAGCTATTTCTAAGTCCTATCTGTGTGTCTGCACTGGCAAGACAGCCCTGAGTACAACTTAAGGAAGAGGACCAGAAAATTATGAGTATTTAGATATTCAGCCTTTGATACTACAATACAAAAGCAACAGTTGCACTTTATGGGATGACAGGATTCATATCATATGGGCCTTCAACTGAAAAGACCCACACAGAAGCAAAAGATCATGCAAGAAAAAAAAAAAAGAAAAGAAAAAAGCTCCAATGAGACTGCTATGAGCAGCAGCAAGTACCAAAAATCCTCATGACATATCAAAACAGGAGTACCCCTTGGACTAGATTCTAGGACCTTCTCCTCTGAGAACTCAACCCTGCTTTAGAACCACATCCTAACCTGGAACGCAAACTAGAACCAACAGGTGAGCTAGACTTCAATCCAGAGAACCAGTAAGTGAGCCAGAATATTACCTGGAACCATTAAGCTATGTAGAATCTGCTCTGGAACCAAGGAGCAAGCTAGAATTGCTCCAAAACCAAGAAAATCTACAAACAACCAACCAACTCCTGAAACCCATCCTCTGGAATGGACCCAGACTGTAGGGCCAACACAGGCTCTGGGGCCTCAGGTTTAAGGTCAACAGCAAGCATATTACTTTCTCCTTTTGGAAGAGGCCAATCACTCAGATTGATGGAATTGTCTGCCACAAAAGTAACCTGCACCAACTCAACATTATCACAGAACCATAGAATGGCCTAGGCTGGAAGGGACCTTAGAGATCATTTTAATCCAGCCTCCCTGTCGCCAGGGATGCCACCTCTCGACTAGATGAGGCAACACACGGGGATTATGAGACCATTCAGTATTGATGAACAGCTGAACAACAGATGGTAGTTTTATTTAAATGGGAATATAGGCTAGATAAAACTGAATAAAGCAAAAAGGTAGAAAGTTTTACATTCATCAGGTAAACATCACCACATATTTAGCGACACCTATAAAAAATCAGAACCAACATGATCTGGAATTAGGATTGTAAGTAACTTTTTGTTTGCCTTTTATTTCCACATTTTAAAAAAGCATTTCATTTTATCCTCAAGACAAGGATTAGTACCTTCTGAACCTCTGGTTTCCCAGAGCAGTTAGGAAAACATTTTTAATTGGGCATTCTGCAATACAGCCAAATCACCAGGCTGATGCGGAAGATTATTCTTAATTTTCCTTGAGAAGTTCAATGTTTGTATAAAATTCTCATTTAGTCACAAGATATTGCTCATTCAGTTGCACTCTTGAGGCATTTCCATAAGCATTTCAAATTCCAGACTGTACTGAGAAAAAACTATCAAAAGTTCTGACAGCATTAACAATGCATTCTTAATATTCAAACACTAGAAGATGATATCACAGCATTAATTTAGGGGATTGCCAGGAATTGTCAAAAGTTTCTTCTAAAACCAAATCTGTTTTTTTTACCAAATACTGTTTTGTTAAACAGAAACGTGCTAGTGTCTCCTATCCACCTAAATACATTCTGAGCTTTTCTCTACAAAGCCATGAAATAGCATCCGCAATAATGCACTCAGTTTCAAATACATTACTATGCACAAATTTGTGCTTTTATTTTGAAATTAATTAATATTTTTTACTTAAATTAGGCTTCAAAATCAAATTAAGGAATTGAAATATTTTGTATTAGCTCATTAAACTTTTCTGTAATGTTTCTTCTCTCTTCTCAATTACTTAAACCCATGCTTACGGAGGGTTGCATACTTTTCCTCATGGCATATACTGTGGAATGTCCAAATTCACAGCATAAGCCACAGAACACTAAACTGTAACACAGCAGCATGCACCAGAAGAGAAAAAAGTGTTAGGTGCATTCTAAAGGATCTGTGCTTCCAGTGAATAACAGGGTTTGTGTTTTGTTTTGTTTTTTCTCCACAGTACATACCAATAATTAGACTCAACCACAACTGTCCTCTTTAAAAAACCAAACATACGAAAACCCTAAAAAAAACACCCACACCCCAAAACCACACTTGTGTGCCATATACACATAAAACCAGTTTCCAAATCCTTCTCCTTTTCTTTGGTAAGAAGATCAACAGCAGCACAAAATGGCCTTTCCAGCTAGGAGTGAGTGTCAAATCCTTGAGGACTGCTTTCTGAGGATCCCTTTGCAAACCTCAACATGAGAGAAGTGGTGCCACTAAAGGCAAATCAGGAGCTACACTGATAGCTTAGCAGAACGTGCTAAAAGTTAGAGGTCACAAAAAGCCTTCCTGATCTGTTAACAGTTTAAAACCAGGAGGATGAAAAAAGGAGTTTAAGCACATCATGGTCTCTTCCATTCACCCTAATTCTTTATCTAGGATTTTGCCTGTTTTCAATTTTGGAGCTTCTGTTTATTTGTAGGGAATGCTTTCAAGGAATCAGTTTTAAAGTTTTTCAACTTAAAAAATCAAAAATTATCAGCCATTTTGGGGATTCAGTTTGCTAGATTTCAGACTGGGCTATTCATTTCTTTCAAGGAAAATTAATAACACATAACAGTAATTCACTGAAACTGAAGAATGTATTCAAAATCACAGAGAATGACAGAATGACAAACTAGAAATAATTAAGAAAAAATGCATATTATATATATAGAGAGATACGTACACACATTCATAAACAGAAAATATTTGATTTCATCTTAATATAAATACTTACTATAAGGGTAGTAGTCTTCAGTGGTATAAATTTCAGCCTCATCCCTATACAGCTGGTACCTAAGCCTGTTAGAATTTGGAGAGTCAGGGGAACTCCACGAAAGACTGATAACACTGGAATTGAGAACTTCTCCTGTAGGAGGAGGTTGCTGGAATGGAGCTAAGACATACACAAAAACAGAGGATGTGAAAAGTAAGGTAATCAATAATCACACCAATTTAAACAGAAATGCAAAGAGACTCCTACGTTTCCTTCAAAGAAAAACTGTTGAGTAAACAGTCACCCAGGCAAGACATTAATAGGCTAAAGTGATACATTCAAATGCTCTCCAACAAAGCTTTTTATCAAAGTACATTAAATAAATCTGTACAGTTAAATAAACAAGTAAATGTAATCTCCTTTCCCCCCCAAATTAAAGTACACCATGGATTTCTAAACATTTTTTTTTAATGTATTTCAAGACATCTATAAAATGGGAACATATTTGTCTGGTCACATTATTGAAGTCTATAGTTCAATTATAATTTTTTTTTCAGAAGATTCATTCCATTTTAGCATAGGCAGGGCATAACTTCCTCTAATAGAACAGAAATGGAAAGTCCAACTAACTACAAATTTTACCAAAGTGTTATAATAGCCTACTTGATCAAATGACAAAAAACATAGAGGGGAAAATTTTGAAGGTTATTCACTTCTATTTTGAAGGCAATTCACTTCTATTTGTTTTCACTGAAATTTAAATCAATGAGAATAAGGTTTCTAACATTTTAAGAGATCAGCTTGAGATTCTTATTTACCTAAATATGACTCTGCTATCACCTCCATTAACACTGGAAAATGTGCTACCTAACTGCACCAGTATCAATAAAAGAGAAAAGTAAATCTTAAGTTTACAAGACAAAAAAATCTCACATTTTCAGAAAGAGCAAAGTCCCTCCTCTGTCTCTTTCATAATCCAACTGTATGAGCATGGTCCTTTCTAAGACGATGGCTGTTACTCAGAAATTAAACTTGATATGCACAGATATACACACACATATATACCCATGCACATAAATATACACTTTTACGGTTGAACTCGGCGATTTTAAAGGTCTTTTCCAACGAAAATGATTCTATGATTCAATATTTATGTTATTATTCACAAGTCAGAGCATGAATCCATATCCTGATATGAGATCTCCAGCCAGCTTGATACACTAAGGAAATACTACTCCAACTCTCAGCAAACTGTGCATTAGTACAGAACAAGACTGGTTTGTTTTGGCACCTAATAGCTGCTACAGCTTGACTCAAAATCAGACGGTGTCATTCCCCTACCCTTTTTACCAAAAAAACAAGGAAAAACAGAGGAGTGTGGATTTAGAGGAAAGCATTTTGATCCAGGAACGAGAATAGTCAAGGGCAGTACAGAAGTCAGTATCTGGAGTAAGCTACTAGGAGCTGGATCCAGAACCATCCAGTAAGATTTTCTCCCTTAGATTAAGCATTATAGGAAAATATCAACACTAGAAATATGTGGCTTTTTATTAATTTTTTTCATCTTCTGTTTATAGACTATCACCATCTTCATTACATGGATATTTGCTTAATATACACAATTCACCAGAAGTTAATTACTAAAATCTGTTCAGCCAAGCTAACAAGAGACAAGAAGCAAAGAGTGATGACATGAGAACCTCAAGCCACAGAAGTGATAGATGTGGAGACTCAGAACATCAGTGGATCACATTACATGCAGATTTTTAATACAAATCTAAAAAATAAGTTGAAGCTTTTTATTTAGAGTAAGATAATGGAAAGCCTTGCTCCTACTGCAGTCTCTCAGGCAAGAAATAGCACAAAACATTTCCAGAATACATTGGATTGAACAGAACACACACATCATCTCTCATGAGAAAGCATAGGTTGTTTTGATGCCCACCTAGAGTTTTGGAGTTCATCTGAGTGAGGAAGTGAATGTATGCTAAGTGTCTACAGGAGTAAAGTTTGAGAATGAAAGGACATAAATGCTCCTAAATCCCTTTAGCATTTTTGAAAAATTCTCTCCATGTAATGCATGCTTACAAGGCCTGAGAAATTGTAGCAATTTACTGACATAACTTTCATTCCCATTCTGTCTGACACTATCAGATATTGCTCCCACATGTTTGCTGTTTTGCAGTTTAGATGTGTACACAAAGTACTGCATTTCAGAGTTTTTATGGAGCGTCTGTGGTGGTTTGACTCTGGCCGGCAGCCAGGTGCCCACTCAGCCGCCCTATCGCCTTCCCTTCTCTGCTAGACAGGGGAAGAAAATACAACAAAGGGCCCATGGTTTGAGACAAGGACAGGGAGATCACCTGTATCTACCATCCTCGGCAAAATAGACTTGATTTTGAGGAAATTAGTTAAATTTATTAAAGAACAAATCAGAGAAGAGTAATGAGAAATAAAATACATCTTAAGAAAAAATAACACCTTCCCCACAGATCTTAAAAAAAATTAACACCTTCCATCCACCCCTTCCTTCCTCCTGGGCTTAACATCAGTCCCAGTTTATCCACCTCTTTCCCCCAAGCAGCACAGGGGGACAGGGAATGGGGCTGCAGTCAATTCATCCAATGTTGTCTCCACCACTACTTCTTCCTCTAAGGGAGGACCCTCACTCTTCCCCTGCACCATTGTGAGGTTGCTCTCATGGGAGATGATCTTCACACAACGTGCGTCCTCCACGTTTCTACAATGTGAGTCCTCTCACGAGAGACAGTTCATCACAAACTGCCCCAATGTGAGTCTCTCCATGGGGTGCAGTCCTTCAGGGGGAAACTGCTCCAGCGCAAGTACCCTGCAGCATCACAGAAGTCGTGCCAGCCACCCTGCTCCAGCGTGGGTTTCTCTCTCCATGGACTACAGGCTCTGGCTGTAGCTCCAGCGTGGGCTTCGCATGGGACTACAGCCCCCTTCAGGCAGCCACTTGCTCCAGCGTGGGATTCTCCAGAGACTGCAAGTGGACATCTACACCCTGTCACCTCCATGGGCCGCAGGCGGACAGCCTGCCTCACCATGGTCTTCACCACAACCCAGGGGACTTTCTGCTCTGGTGCCTGGAGCACATCCTCCCCCTACCCCGCTTCTTTGCTGACCTTGATGTCTTCCCATATTCTCATTCCTCCCTTTCTCTCTGCCAGTTTTTGTGTGGCACAGTTCTTTTTTCCCCGTTTCTTATGTATATTTTCACAGAAGTGTTCCCATCTTACCATTACTGACAGGATCAGCCTTGGCCAGCGGCGGGTCTGTCTTTGGAGCTGGCTGGCAGTGGCTCTATCAGACTTAGGGGAAACCTTGAGCAGCTTCTTGCAGAAGCCACCCCTACAGCCCCCCGCCACTGAAATCTGGCCAGGCAAACCCAATACAGCATCTAAGATATTGTTTGGCAGAAAAATTGAAAATAGGTTTTTTCCTTAAAGAATGTTAGTTGGACAGTGACTGCAACTTACACTTGCTTCTCTTGGCAAAGACTTATAACCAGTAATGGTACGTGTGAACAAAACACTGTTCTGCAATGAAAATAACCATAAATATCAAGCTAGGCAAAGCTCCATATCTGTGCAACAAGTTAAAATATTTTGGTGTGAATATCCAAAAGACTATAACTGCTATATCATTTTTACCCAGAAGAGGACTCCGCTCATCATTTAGAATACAGCTGATGTATTTTTTCCTAACTAAAATCTATTATATTATTTATCTATGTCATATTATTAATCAATTTTATAGCTGAATTGCCACTGACCTTTATCCAATGTATATCCCAACATAAATAAGTAGGTTGGTTTATGTTTGTAAAGCACTCTGAAGATGAACAGCATCATAAAAGTGCCATGTATTATTATTATACATTCAGTTGAAACATCCTACATTTTTTGAAGAAACAACAAGCCAATCGAATATCTGCACAATTAATAGACACTACGTTTTCTACAGTAGAGTATGGGGAAAAGCAAAACAAAACTGTATCTAAAAACTTCTGAACTTTGAGGATTTAAAAAAAACATCCAAAAAAAAAAAAGTCTCTTTATTCTATCCCGTGTATAGCACTATGCATTCTGCAAGGCATATTATTTGGAATTTAAACCAATTTACAATGAAATACAAACTGGAATTAAAGAGAGAGCTGTCTGTCCTTGAAAATGAACTCTTTATGTGTGTACCTCTCTTCTTGCAAATCTACAGTGTGCACATATCACAATGCTGAATATCATAAAAACACCTATGCACCTATGCAGAATACAAAAAAAATATTTTGTTGAAGGAGGATCTACAAATATCCTCCAGAGATTACTTTGGAATGTCTAACCCTGCGTTGCAATACACATAGCTACCTGAGTTAACTCTTACAGTAGGACCACTGTGGCCTTTATTAATTAGGTCTGCTTACAAAAATAATGAATTAACATATGCAGAATACCTTGTTCACTGGTTACATGACTACTAAGACCAGGCTGTTAAGTGTGTATGGCAGTAAGGTGTGTTCACAACAGTATAACACAACTTTTTCAGATTTAGCTGAAGTCCTTCCAACACAGTTCAGCATTGCATGCACAATATCCTCAAAGCCCATTTCTGAACACTGACCTAAAGACAACTTAAAAATTTACTTTTCTTATTAGATATTTTTTCCCTTCCTTCTTTAAAATCTCTGCCACCTTAGACACTGTGTGCTTGTGAACAAATCTGAACATTTAATTTTGACTAACTCTGACAAAAAGGCTGAAATTGTGCTCTCTCTCCATATCCAGACTCACTGCAAGGGTAGAAGTGCCGATGTTCCACTGCAATGTGTTTGATTACAATTTATGATCTGACCATCAACAAAACATTAGCCCTGCCTCAAACATGCCAATTTATGATGCTCTATTATACCACATCACATATTTCCCCAAACTGATGGGAAGAAAGCCCCAGGAGAAAAAATGTACATTGCACTGAGAGGCAGCTTCTGAACTGATCACCAGGAAGAGGTCTTCAACAGACCTTTTGCTCTTCAGACCTATTGAAAGCAGGTCTCCTGCCTCCTGTCAATGGCAGGAAAGGGGGCTAAGCTGTACAAATAGTATTGCATTTGTGTGACTAAAAGATGAACTCCGCACTGGTCACTACAAAGAAGATGGTGGGAAGTGCAAGGGAACTATGGGCTGTAACTTGTGCCCTGGGTTAGACTGCAAGTATAAGCTGTGCATATCACATGAAGCATTCCAGAGATCTCTCTAGAAAACATTCCTAAGATACTTACAGTGAAAATCACCCAAACTTCAAGGACCAGAAATATGGGGAAGGGGAGGGAGGGGGAAGTCAAACTCACTTTTAGTACTGCTGACCTAATTTAATACTCACTAAATCAATAAAAAACCCATTAATTTGAAAGACATGCTTTTAAGACCTAACATCCACTTACTTTTACTGCAGCCAAATAGGTTGTGGACATCCAAATTACTAGCATCGGGAACACAGTTGTCACATTTCAAGCCAGTTACAAATTGTTTACAAACACACTGTCCAGTAACAAGATGACAAGTCCCACTAATGGCTCCTGCAGGATGACAATTACAATGCTGACATCTATAAACAAAAACAAATCATGAAAGTTATCAAAACACATTACCACTTCGGTTAAGCACAGTAGGGTTTTTTTGAAAAGATTCTTGTGTAACATAATTAAAATATCATAGTTCAGCAGCCTGAGACACAGTAGAAAAACTATTAGCCTGATTAAAAAAAAGTAACTTACAAAAAAGGCATCCATTATAAAAATAAACATTAACATTGCAATACTAGAATAATATACTAATTTCGATAAAAACTGCTTAGAATTAAACAGCTTTTATATATATTGATCCATACACAAACTGGATAATGTTTGGTAATAACCACATTAGGCATTTGATCCTGCAACACTTACTCACACCACCCTTTCTGCAGAGCTATAGAGTTCGGTGATATATGTGTAACTGGCTTCATATGGTTTGTACACAAATTATGCAACCTTCTTACTCAGAGGAAACTAGATTTTTGTTGAAAAAAATAAATCAATTGAGAATTTCTCGTCCGTAAATCATAGAATCATAGAATCATAGAATGGCATAGGCTGGAAGGGACCTTAGAGATCATCTAGTCCAACCTCCCTGTTTTGGGCGACAACTTGAAGTTGAAAAAAATAACACGCTGCAAATAAAGGAGGATGAATGTAGACAAAAATCAAGAATGAAACCCTCAGATTAAAACAGTAAAAGGAAACTAGCAGAAATATGAATATAACAGAAAGTATCTTTTCTTCACAGCCTGATGGACAAAGTAGCAAATAACTAGAAAGATTATTTCATTAAATGTATAAATTAAATTATTTTTAATTAAAAAGTATTAAAAAATTTAAAACATTGGCATCACACAAATGCCAAATTTCAACTCTCTAAATCTCTCTAGCATCAGTATTTTCAGAATTAATTTATGCTTTGGCTGTTGCATGCGAAACCTCTTGCAATCAACTTGTTTTTCACTCGCCATACTATTTCCCCACTGACATTTATTTCTAGCAGGGATGCCAATGTCAGGTTTTGCAAATATTGAAAGACTTAAACATCTCAGAAGTTAAGCAAGGCAATTTTTTCCTTACTGCAAATACTGTTACGCTCCCCTTTGCAATACAGACTGCCACTATTAGTCATAACAAAGTCAGCAATGGCAAGTCAAACTCTGTAGTTTAGATTCTAATGTCATTGTATTTTAATTGAAAAACAGGGACTGGGAGAAATGTGGGAGTGTACAGTGCAGCTAAAAAGTAATAGGAAATTTACACCTCACTCCCCTTGCCCTGGGCTGGCAAATTCTGAGTCTCAGGCATAAGCAACATCGGCTTTGAGGGACTCTTAAATTACTCCAGGTGCCAAGTGGATGAAGCAGCAACAAGACCTTGGAGAAGTCCAAGAGAGGGACAGTCATGCCACATCCCCTTTGTTCTGTTAACCCCAAGACTAGACAAGAAGAGTTGATTTATATTTGGCTGGTCTTGGCCATTTTCACCAGATCCAAGGAAACAGGTGGCACTGCCTTTATGCATGTTACTGTGCCCTTTACCTAGCCATCACCACCACCTTGGTCTACCTCTTTCTCTCTGTAAGAACGCCAAAACAAAAGTAAGCTCAGTTATGTTTTAGGTATCGGCTTTTGAAAGCGAGGGAGATGGGGGAGGGTGAAAACTGTTTTCACATTAGGACGCTAAAATTCAGGTCAATAATCAGTGAAATAGACATTAAATGTGACAAATTTTTAACAAGTTTAAGAAAACTCTTCACATATATTTTCTGCCCATCACAGAGCTCTCTGTATTAGAGTTCCTTTAGTCCACAGCAGCTCGTGCTGTGTGATCTCCTGGGTAATCATTCAACACCCTTAAAAAGGCTGATAAAAGCTAAAGCTGCAAAATAGGCTGCAAATTTGTTTTATGGACTAATATCCTTTGGGGAATAAATAAAATACGTTCCCTCTTGGAAACCACTATGCTGTAGTTTGCTCTCTTTTATAGTCAAGAGAAAAGGGCAATTTTTTCAAACTCTATTAAAGTCTCTTCATCTGCAGACAGTGCATCCAAATCCCCTTTCAAATAGAGGTTTTGCTCAGACTATTTAAATGTCACTACTGAAAAAAACAGCTTAGTTAAAGAAAAAATGAAGATGGAATTATTTACTCAGTAAGACAGTACATACTATTTTGTAACTTCATTACATGAAGATACTTACTACATATTTAGTTGGGGTGGGGGTGTTAACACAAGTGTCTCAATAGATTAAAAAGTAAAAGGCAAGGTTCTCTAACTGCTCCTGTATATTACCGCACCTCTTATGAATAATACCCCCTGAGTATTCCAGTTTTCATGATCATTCACACACGAGACAATCAAAGTCACATACACCTACAGTCACAGTAATGGTTTTCAGTGCCTGGCAAGGTGGGGCTGCTTCTCTCTGCTTGTTGCACTTTCTTCTAAGAAAAGTGCAGGCTCCCCTACCTCCACCTATAATTAATTAGACTTCAGATCCTGCAAAGAGCAGCACACATGTCATCATATCCTATTCCATGGGATTACATGTTGTATCTGTGTAATCACATACTTCATTTTCTTAAAATGGCGAGCACCAGAACTGTCTTTCTTGTTATGCATAGTTTATGTTTTTCAGTCAGGATTAAGGATTCAGACAATTAAGGATTTTTTAAAAAATAACTTTCTTTGGAACTTTTAATCATGGACAAAATGTTTCCAGCATTCTTCTTAAATGCTACTTCTTCAAGATACTCTGGGTCAAATATATTTGAGTTTTGTAAAAGAGAATTATAAAAAAAATCAACGAAAACAGACTTTTAAAACAGGGAAATCAGGCCAAGATGAATTGCAATATTGATTTTGTGAGGATAAATGGGTTTTGTAATATTAATATAGAGAAACCTTTATTACATTGACTCTCTAGGTGCAGTTAGAGCCTCTCCAGCAATCTGTTTAAAATCTTCATTTTTCTTCCTTATGGGAAAACCTCACTTGCTAAATGGATTTCATAAACAGTAATCTGTCAAGATATATATATATAGATAAACAATTTGTGATGTTCATTGACCAGTTCATTATAGTAAACAATACAGAGGTAAAGCATTTCAAACATGTACCAATTACAACCACTACAGATCTGTTCACAATGTTGTAAACAACCAGTATTTCTCATTCTTTAATTGCCAAGGAAATTTTCCTGCTTCATAAGGTGAAATGCATTAATAAAAATACAGAGATCTTGTTTTATCTCAGAAGTATCACAAAATAAATCAGCTCACATATATATTCCTCAGAGCAGGAGAATTTTAAAGCCTACAAGTCTCTGTGTGTCACAACTTTTCATTCTTTTCTGCTGTTGTGCCAAGATAGATACATGTTTGCCACTACAGACAGATCATATCCTTTGCATTCAGTAACCACAGATTCCTTAAAAGACACTTGGAGCAAGGAAGCAAGGATGCTTCAGATGACTTTGCAACTTTGTAGAGAAAGAAAAAATACATCACTCTTTTTAAGAAGATATTAACAGTTACCAAAATGGATTAAAATAGATTAACAAATAAAGACATGGATTATCATTTTCAATGGATAAACGTTCCTGCCTGATGAAGAGGTACATTGCCCAAGTAGATGATAACCAAAAGGAAGCCAAGCGTATGCAACACAAGTTAATCATGTTAATGTACTACCAGAGCAGTCTTCAGTACTGCCATGAGGATTAAGTAGCATTAAAGCCAACCGTGATTCAAATTCCAGAACTGTAAAAACTTTCTATCTTTAAAGCAAGATCTGGATCTAGACAGATGTAGACATTTCCACCTTTTGAATTTCATAAGGCAGCTCAAAATGCTTGTAATTGAAGGCAAATATCTAGTTCAGGAAAGCTATTGCTTAACACAGGCTGAAAACCTCTCCATCACCTGCTAAAACTGAAGTAGTGACGGGGTTTGGGGAGGGAAATATATTGTAAGTAACTTTAAAAAAAAAAAAGAAAATATCATTAATAATAAAGAAAATACATTTTAAAGGAAAGTTTAATATTACACAGATTTTATCCCTTATCATTAGAAATGACAGGAAATGAAAATAGGAAGTCCTTATTCCTAGAGATTACTTTATGGCCATTATCAGATGCCTCTGTGACCCACAACAGTAAAAAATAATTTTAAAAACCTCCTAATGAGTGACAGTAACATAAAAATTAAAGTGAAAAATCTGCAGAAAAATGTCAAACATATGCAAGATGACACTGATAATCACTGCCTAAAAGCACGTCTACCCTGCACAAGCTGGGGGAAAAGTGCACAGGGAGGGGAAAGTTGCACAGATTTTGCTTCTGCCTGTGGTTTGGGTTTTGTTGTGTTTTTCTCTGTTTGTTTTTAAAGGCAAAAATACTAACAATAATAAAACAATTTAACACCATCAGTCTGCATGAAAATATGATAGCATTAGAGCTGTGCAATCTTTCTGGACAGTATTTAAAAGGAAATTGAGATTGTGGGGATTAAGCAAGAAAGATGATCCTGGAAAAGATAGAGCAATAGTTGGAATAACAGTGCACTACCTGTAGATATGTTTTCCCCCTTACATTCCAGGGAATATATCCATATAATTTCAGCATACCTAGAGGCCCCAGGCTACATCAGATAAACAATTTACCCCGTGGCACATAACTAAATGCTGAGAAAGAATACATCGCTTCAGAAAAACTGATTTTTAAGAGGAAAGGTACTGTATTTCTAGTTCTGCTGCTGAAATAAATTTGGAAAGACAGGGATATCTCTAATTTTTTTACAACTTTTTTTTCTCCATTAAAATATCTTCCTGAGATCTTCAAAAGCACTCACTAGATCATTTAGTCCAATCCCTCTGCCAAAGCAGAATCACCTAGAGTAGGTGACACAGGAACACGTCCAGGCGGGTTTTGAAAGTCTCCAGAGAAGGAGACTCCACAACCTCTCTGGGCAGCCTGTTCCAATGCTCAGCTTTCATGTTGTTTCTACTTAAATCTGTGGTAAAATTTGTATTTCCTTCAGCTCATGAGAGCACAGAAGGTTGTGTAACATACCACATGTAAATCAGAGTGGACACATGAATTCAAAGAAGGATTAATGTCACTACAGCACATCTTTTCATTGTCACTAAACCTTTGAATGAGCTACTATGAAAAAAACATAATTAGGACGTTATAAGTGACCCATAAAAAAGAAACACTCACCTCCCTGTGACAGAGTCAAATCCAAAATAAAGATCTTTGCAACGCTCACACGTCTGTCCTGTTACAGAGGCATCTTTGCAAATGCATTGACCAGTTAGCTTATCACAGATCTGATTCACTGAACCAGTTCTGTGGCACAGGCAGGGCAGACAGCCAGTGACACTGGATGGAGAAAAATAAAAACCTGGAAGAGAAATGGGCTTTGAGAATCTGCAATATGCAAAAAGTGAACACCGTAAGATTACTATTAACTGGTGTGTAATCGGGGCCAAAATAACAGAACCAAAGCTTAGGTAACATACACACCAATTCAAAGCAATATAGTCCTCCTGCAGAGCTGAGCTTTTATACCTTCTCACTGGCATTTTGCAAAGCTGTTATTCGCCCTTCAGTTGCCAAGTTTGATTTTTTTATTCTCTCTCTTCAGACTTTATTTTAAACAGAGCAAATGTAAAACAGAGGGACTACATTAAGGTGTCTGTGGGGAAAGTAAAGACCCAAGGACATGAGAGTAATGAATGCACCACAAATAGCGGAAACAAAAAATAACATGTGAGAACAGACATTTGTCCATTCTAGTCTGGCATCTCATCTCTGACAATGGCCAGCCGGGAAACAAGAACTGCACATATTTTAAGAAATTCTCTTAACCTTTCTCAACCAGTGGTTGCCTTAATCCTTGAAACATGATGATGAAATTGTATTTGATGAGCATTGCCAGGTCTACGCAAAATTTGTATTTTACTCCTCCTCAACATAAAATTTGTACCCTACACAAACACTTTTACAGAAACTGATGAAAAAAGGCCTTCATTCTGAATCCTATCCTTCTGTTCCTTTATTATTTCCAATTATCAACTCCAGCATTCACTTCACCTTCCCCACAGTATATTTGGTATGTCTCTCCTATATTATCTTTCACCCTATTGCCCTCAAAAGCAATCTTTATCTATGCAAGTCTCTAACACATTACTGATAAATACAGTTAGATAGAGTTTATACACTTCTAATCTGGTCACTGAAGAACTCACCCATTATTCAGAGCTTTGCCTGAAATTCCAAACAGAATAGTTTTTACACACATTTTATAATGATACTCTGACACCTGCATAATCTATTTTGCTGTGCATGGACTTCTTGAATTCTTACCAATTTCTTTTCTATATGTCTGATCAGAAGATAATTCAAGTAACAATATATCATTAAGAAATACAATCACATAATTTCCCAAAATTATTTTCTATTTTTACTTGATTATTAATGGCCATTTAACTGGGTTTTGCACTGGTACAGTTGATTAAAAACATAGCATTGTATAAGAGTTCTGGAAATGATGATGGTAACACAGTATTAACTAGCACTATTCAGTTGCAAGTACTCATCTTTGAACATCAATTCTCAAATAAGGTCACTGACAGGAGTCTGCTGGTTACTATGAATTATTATTGCACAACTTCAACAGAAGAATTTCAACCGCTGCTTAGATATGCAGTATTTGCACTCACTCACTTTCCCTCTCTCTCTGGATGAAGTTCAATAAGTTTCTTTTTAGTCATGTTCTCAGTTACTGCATCTTTTTCACTGTCCAATAACTTCCTGATGTCCTGCTTTATTATAAAGAGCCCAGAATTGTATTGTAACATGTCGTATCACCCAAGGCCTTATTATTTATTTTGTCTTACAAGAGATAGCTTTATATATACACCCCTAGGGTGGTATTCTCTGTCTTTGCAGCAGCGTTGCACTGTGAGCTCATATCCAAATAGTAGAGGAACTAAACAAATTGAAAACATTAGAATTTTACTGCTCAAATCTTTGTTCAAGTTTAGCCTCTGGTCCTCAGCGAGATAAATCTCAAGTGGACAGTGAAGTGATATCAAGTCTCCCGTTAACATACATTCGCATCATAAAAAAACATGCTGTTGGCACTTTATTCCAGAGAGGCCCCAAACTGAGCCACCACAGAGACCGAATAGCTGGAAGTTATTAGTGAGGCAGCATGTATTATCTGATACGGCAGTCGTCTGCGCAGTGCAGCGCCCATCCTGGGCATAAATAGAGGAGACCATTTCCCAGCAATGTCACTCCGGAGCGTAATGAATGACTCCACTCAAAGAACGAAAGGTAGGAAACAAGTTTAAGCCTGGACTCCTGCCGAAGGTCAAAGCACTTCTTCGGGCCCCAGTTTATAGTTGCAGTAAATGATAGGCGCTCAGGCTGAAAGAGATCCTTGCTGATCTGAAATTTTGCATGAAACTAATGTCTGAGAAAAGGCTGTATTGTGTAAATAAGCACATCTCTAGAAAATAAACTCATTTTAACTGAACAAGATTGATCACTACAGCATATATTGCTTTTGTCATAGCAGTGAAATTCATAATTATAAAGAACTTATACCTGAATGTTAAACACTCTGGCTCTCTTAATTTCATACCATCTAAATCACTGCAGAGCAGCAAAGGATTTGGTAAGATATTTTTTATAGTAATCTTTTAAAAATGCTCTAAAACTATGATTCTAGACACTACCAAAAGGTTGGGGTTTTTTTCAGAATTTTTTTTTTTAAAAGTAGAAATGTGGGATAGGAAAATGGGAGAAATTCATTCTCCCTACTAATTTATAAGTAAATTAACATGACTAAATGTAGACAAAAAGAGAAGAGACACTAGATTACAAATTCATGCTGTTTGTCATAACCATTATTATTTACTTCTATCACCTAGAATATGGCAGGAAAGAGTAAGAAACAACTTAATGCAAGCTTAATTTACAGCAAGGTTAGAAGGGCTCATAAAAGTTGCTTTATGAAGGATCCACTGCTGTATAATAGAGCCAATTTCCAATTTTAAGACAGCCACTGCAAATCTCTACAAGATCTATGTATATAACTAGTATTATGCTTATTCTTTGTCAGATTTTTTTCCAATTCAACCATAACTGATCACATTTGTCAATCAAACACTCTTCAAAAGGAAGAATGAAAGTCATAGCAAACTATTCAGTTTCCTGTTTCAATCACACTGTTACATTTCTCCCACTATACAGCTCATGGCAAAGGAACACTCAAATAATTCCTTAACACTTGTAGTGTTAGCTCATGCTTACCAACCATGATAGTAATGCTCATTTCTTCACTAGAGTTTATGATTCAAAATGCACAGTTAACAACACTGACAACATTGTCACAACATTTTTCTGGCTAGGACGACAGGTAGTATGTGCACAAGCTCAGAATTAGTGCCCAACCACAAATCCTAAGTGCCGTGCTGGTTTACATCTTTTCCATACCGAGTACTGCTCCACGAAAAAGCTGTGGGCAAAGAGTAAAGAACTTCTGTTTTATATGGTCTGTAGTTTTGATTTTTGCTTTATTTTTTCCTACAGCTTTGCAGCTCTTGTTACATGATCCAATACCTGTGTCAAACAGGATTTGTATGGCACAAATTCCAGTCAATGTGGCAACACAGTCCCAGAATGAGGCAGGGACAAACTTCACAATTATTTGGGCACTGGAAACACCTGTTTTCTACTAGTGCAACAGAGGACATCTCAAAAGCAAGTTTACATACAAGGTAAAACCCCTCTTTCATTTGTTTTCATGTTAGAATCAAGTGTTCCTCTCTTTGAATACATCATCAGCTTAAAAAAAATTTAATGTATAGAAAATTACCTAAAACGTAACTTTTATGAGAACAAACTGGAAGAAATCAGGTGATGGATGCAGCCTAACAGAAGAAACACATGGCCAAATGCTCCAGAAAGAATTTATTTTTAGAAAAAAACAACTCATGATGAAATAACATCCAGTTTGATTTTTTTCTCCATTGGCAACTTTTTCTGTATTAAGGCTTTGGTAACTTTTGGAACCCTCTCAAATTTTTTCAAAGCACATAGAAAATATGGTGCAATGTGATGTTATTTTAAATATCGCTACCTACTGCGGACTTACACAGAATTAAAAAACAAACAAACAAGCAAACAATGTGACCTGTATTCCACCAAAGAAACACCGATCACAAAGATGAAATATCCCAACAGCCTAAGAAACCCTCAACAAGCTGCCAGTTTTTAGGACTCTGAGTTTTAACTAATTAATTGTGTGCTTTGAATTAGGCTGTGTTTGCTACATACATACTCAGAATCCATCTTTGTCCCAAGACAAAGCCATTGGATGTATTTAGAAACATGTTTAGAAACCAATTAGACTCTTCTATATTTCTGCAAATTAATACCAGTATTACTAGCAGCTTATACTCAGCCCTGGTTTATGGAAAACTCCTATCTGAAACATACTAACAAAGGCATATTAAATGTCTAAATGAGTTTACTCTGGCATCAACACTAAAATGTCAGTGAAAATACCACAGTATGCTGCACTGCACTAAGAGCAATACAATGCTTTTACAATAATAAGGATTTACACACTGGCAACTGCAGAAGAGAGCTCAGCGTTCAGCATACACGTGCTTATTACTTAAAAATTTTAAAAATTTTTACAACAAGATTTTAAAAATTTTTTTAACAAGAACTATTGTGGAAGTATTCATCCAAGTGCCATGTAAGCTTTTCTCCAAACCAGTCTGTTCATACTATCAATTAAACCTTTTTAAACCATTTAGTTCTGCATAAACCCTGGCCTTTCTTTTTCAAGGACAAGGGCGGTCACTGACTCAGGAAGACTTGACATCACTCCTCTGCCGATCTCTGATTAAGTGGCTGATGTAAAGGGTTAGCAGGTCAAATAGCACTGGAGAAGGAACTAAGAAAAACAGAACACTGCCTTATTTATTAGTATATGTACCTAAAATAATTTAAATGAAAGTATTTTTAAAAATACTTAATGGAGGTTAAGCAGTTTTTTTAACCTCTGTTCAAATTATTGAATGGCATATTAAAACCAATGGAGCAATAATGTACCTTTTAATGTGACCTACTACTTTAATAAATTGCATATGTATTTAACTTGAACCAAATCTGTTTAATATTAATCCTACGGGTTGTTTAATATTACCTATAGTTTCACTTTACCCACCTACATTTTAAACCAAAAACATTAAAATATAACTACAGAGCTTCCCATTTATAATGCACATTTAAACTCTGTTGATAGTAACTTGGTGCAAAATCTGGAACTGATACATAGAAACTGCGGTATCACCCATCTGTAGGGCCAAACTGCAAGCAGTCCTTGTGAACGCCAGAACATCCTCAAGACAGCAAGGCCAGCAAATGCTTTTTAAATGGCATGGTTGCCAGCCTCACCAAAGTTTAAGAAATCATCTCCGTGCCTTTCATCATGCACAGCTTTATGCATGAAGTGTCCTTCCTGAAGAGCTGCCACTCTGCGTTCCAAACCCACATGTTCCCTTACGAGGATAGCTGCTCTGCTATCTAGCTGTGCTAGTTTACCTCTCATTCAGTGAACGGGCCGTGATGATCTGTATATTTTCTCAATATGCCAAGGAACTAGGCCTAACCTTACTTTGGACATGTTGAAAGAACAGTAATAACACAAATTATACAACCTCTGACAATAGAATCAATATTTAATGCCAATCAGGACATTAATACTTCTTTCTTGCTCACATAGGAAGAACTGGAAAAATATCTGATAACATAACTCAGAGAAATGTGAGACATGAAGCTGCCTAAACACATATTAAAAACCTGTAGGAACTAAGATTATATCCAACAAAACAAAAACTACTTCATCGAATAGATTGGAAGACAATGTCCTTACCTGCTTTACACTCATCACACCTTCTCCCCTGGCGCTGAGGCAAGCAGACACACTGTCCAGAAACGTGGTCACAAACTGTTCCTGCCAATGTGCCCAGAGAGTCGCAGTCGCAACGCTGGCAGCCGAGGCGGTCACTCACGCTGAGGTTGTACGTATGAAGCACGCACTGGCTGCACTGACGGCCAGTTACACCAGCTTTGCAAGGACACTGCCCTGTTGATTTGTCACAAAGCAGAGAGCCATTTACTGTGCCTGCCTTATCACAGTCACATGGCAGGCAAATAAAGGAATGATTTTCCTGTATTTTGTGGTAGCCATCTAGGCATTCGTTGCATTGTCTCCCTCCGATATTTGGTTTACACGCACACTGCCCTGTCTTCGCATCGCACACGGTTCCAGAAAATGACCCTGCGACGTTACATTCACAAGCCTTACAACCAGTTACATCCAGCCCATAAAAGTTGTCCATGCAGGTGTCACAGTGAAGCCCTTTCACTCGTTCTTTACAATTGCACTGCCCGGAGAGAGGGTTGCAGAATTGGTTCACTGAGCCATGGCTGTTGCACCAACAAGGCTCACATCCATCTTCATTAGAATATCTGAGAGCTTTAAATCGAAAATTGCAAGTATCACACCTAAGACCTGGAAAGAGCAAAGGTATTAATGAAAAAAAATGAAAAATAAAGAAACTGAAAAACTATTAATTTCAACTATTAAAAAGGATAAGTATACTTACACTTGGGGGAAAAAAAAGAGAGAGAAAGGAAAGGAATAATACTCTTCACCAGCATAATTAACAGGAATGACAGGGCTGCACAAATCAATTGAATAAAAGTGGCATCCCAAAAATCTGTTTACTTTTCCAATTTGTTTCAGAAGTGATGTGCTTCTACTGGCTTCTCAATACAACTTAAGATACTTCTTCAATAAATTCTTTGTAACATTTTTAGAACAAACCAGAATTAGTCTCTTTGTCACCCAGAACAGAACCTGTTGCCCAATCAACGCTTACATGAACTCTTCATCCAGTATCTTAGAAATGCAATATACAGGGAATTGCACTGGGCTCTCAATCTGTTCTGATAACAAACTCAGACATTATATCAAAAACATTAAATATACTCTAGGACAACACAAGTTAGACTAATTACGATGAACGGTCCACTTAACGCTGTAGTTCAGTTTTATACTGATTACATTTATGTTGGTTTTTATTGTTAGCCCTTTCTGACGGCAGAAAATGCTTTCCATAGTGCAAAATGAAATGTTTTTATCTAAATGTATGATTTACTTAACTTCTGCAGTACATTAAAATCTAAGTTGTTTTTTTCATCCTGTAGTTTTATTAGCTTTGTTTTCAAAGTCAGTGCTTGCTTTATCCCTGCCTCAAGGGATGGCATTTGTATTTTAGCTTATAAAATGCACATTACAAGAAAGCAAACTAGATTATTATATGAAATATGCAAATTCACAGTTATATATTTTCCCTTGCAATGGGAAAATCCTTCACTATGAAGCCATAACTTAATTGTTGCATACAGAAAAATATAAATACAATGCTCTAGGAAAATACTGTAATCATTTTCTAAAAACACCTAAAAATACATCTAGCAACATACATGTAGAAATATAAAACAAAAAAACTGTAGGAAATGCATTATACATATGGATAAAAACCCAAAAAACTCCAACAGAAGGCAAGTTCCTTTAACAGTGATGAATGACTCACCTAAGGCATATCATTTAATTTCAATAAGGAAAATAAAAAAGGACCACTATTGCTGCAAATTTTAAAAATAACTGTATTGTTAACAAGAATTATGACTCATTTTGAACTATTAAAATTGGTCTACATGGATTCATATCATATCAGTTTTAAAAATATGTGCAGTGCTTATTTGAATATGCCATACATATTCCTGACAGGTAATCTATTCCTAACGATACTGAGGAAGGCCTACAGGGCATCACATTCAATGTTAACAAGTACAGGGGAGTTAGCACGCTTGGCATTTAATTCACATTCTTCTACCTTTTTATTCTAGATGAATGACCTACTTTAATAAAATTATTGGTGCTAATGTATTTTACTGGCGATAGAATCATTAGTAAGATTTAACAGTTGTGTTAACTCTAACAGTTCATGTTTCATAACACAGCAGTCCGTAGCGGCATTCTTCTGTTATCGTGTTTGCTTAAATAGATAAAATGTCAACAGAGAGATTGCTCTAAAAACCAATTTAGAAATCCAAAGAGGAAAGCTCTTTGTTAAAGTTTGCTGCACACGTTCCAATATGCAGCAGCTTATTTACAATTGGTTTGGAAAACAAAAAAGAGCATCTGATCTAGAAAGTATTAGGTCTTTATCCTGCAAACAACACTCGCACAACTACAGCCCCCCACCATAGCTGCAGATAAATTTGCAGAAAGCATAGGTTTGCACGGGTTTTTGTCTTACTGTGTCAGTGGGAAAAAGAAATTCTTGTTTTCCTCACAGGGAGAAAATATTTACAATAATACTTAGGCAATCAAATACGTGAGAACCAGTCTGCACATTCCTTGTACACCAAACTCCCACTGAGTTAAGAAAGATTTTCACAGACGCAAAAATGTAGGTAACAATATATAATTATAAATGCTCTGAAGTCCTTTTTATCAAATGTAAAGAGTGGCTTTAAGATGCACAGAGGTTATTTTTAGTCTTAGCAACCCTTTTCATCAAATGGAAAACATAGGTACTTAGCATTCCACAGGAAAGAGGACAGAAAGTGTTCAGGCTTGTATCTGTTTAGAGTTATTTTCATTATTTGTTGTTATTTTGTATTTGCTTTTGGGAATTTGTAGAAGGAAGCAACAAAGATTCACATTACAAATAAATCAACATTCAAAAGTCAGTGAGTTATAAATTAACATATACTGGAACATTAATACAACCTACAACCATGGCTAGCTAACAAAAAAAATAGATTACTAATTGTGTTAATAACAAAGTAGAAAAGGATCCCTCTTTTTTTTTTTTTTCCTTGAGATATATGTACAGCCTGAGACATGTACAGTTACCATGCAAGGCTCACTTTATCAGGAAATTCTCCTTGCATAATATTCCCATACATCAACATTTCAAAGTGTATTATATATACTGTGTATTTTGGGCACTTGATAAATTTTGTCCTTATGTGGCTGTGGCTCCCCTCAAATATGCTGGAAGTAATAAATTGCTATAATCAAATCTAATTTCTGAAAAATACCTGTGGGAGTAACAAACAAAAAAGCACGTCTTGTAAAAAAAATGATAAATAACACAGAAGGTAGCAGTTTATTATAATCAGCTTGGCATTGAATTACAAAATTAAAATTATGTGGCCCTTGATAACTAACCCTCGCTATGTACATGATCTGTGGAATTATGTTGACTTATTTTGCATTTCATAGGAACAGTTCAAAGAAATATAATAGAAAAAAATGGACAGATTTATCATAAAGGACCCTGTAGCACAGAATATTTGGAGAAAAAAATCCATTTATTTTGGTCTATTAAGAAAACTAGCATGGAAGCGATTTGCTTAGAACTCATTAAGTATAAAACATTTTGAAAAAGTGTTAATTTCCTAAAAGAAACATCTATGCAGTAAGCAAATTACATTATTTCTGTGACTTATTAGGATGGAGCTATGTAAGCTAATGTAGCTATTGCATAAAGAAACTTCTAAAGGGTTGATTAAACTAAGCTTCAAGCTGTAGTTTGATAAAATTATTAAATTAATAATTCTTCAACAGTTAATTTCATTCATTTTTATAATCTGCCCTCAGCAAAGAAGTTTACTGTACTTTTCATTTAGAAACCGAGCGTGTTTTATTTCCAGAGAAAACAAGAAAAATGGCTCCGAACTCTTGCATTACACATACCAATAACATTTGCTTTGCACTTGCACTGGCCTGAATTTTGGTGACAGGTAATATCTCCATTGACTGTCCCAGAGGTATTACAGTTACAGGGACTGCAGCCATCAGGGTTTGCCTGTTGTAGATTGTAGAATCCTTCCTGGCACTGATTGCATTGTCTGCCAGACACATGTCTCTTACAATTACACTGGCCTCCAATCTAGAAAGATACAAAATATTATGGAATGATGAACATATCTATTTTTAGATTATACATTCATGAGCAACAAGAATCGGAGTAGGAGTTGGGGAGGAGAAAACTTTAAATGGAACAGGAAAAAAAAAAAGCCTATGTAACACATACTTTAATTTGTTGAGAGAAAAAAAGAAATTTTCAGTGGACTGTAACTATTCAAATTTTAAATAGAGTTTAAACGTTCTGTTCTTTCAAAGTAGAAGGCAGAAAAGAATTGTGTAAACAATGTGGCAATATTTACCATCTGGACAGAAAAAAACTTCAAAGAATAATCACAAAATTGCATTGCATAAATGGTGACTTCTACTAAAACAAAGAGTATTTTTTCGAATCACAGTTATAAAAAAAATTATAATTTTCAAATGTTCAGTTTTGTAATTTTTTTGTTCAGATCATATGCTTATTTATTTTAGTGAAAATGTTAGTTAAATAAGAATGAAGCAAAGTCAAAAGATTTCCTTTCTGATTACTCAACCGAGGTAACTTTTCTCTTCCTTTACAGAAAGATGTGACCCAAAACCTCGGTGTCTGAAATTCTCTCCCTCTTTTCCTGGTTCAGCTGGGATTCAAGCACTCCACTTCAGTGGTGGGATATAAAGGTCCTCTCCTACTCCCTAAATGGGTGGCAGAGCTATTTGGAAGGAGCTGAGACATCTTTTGTTATGCCCAGGCAATGATCTGGGAGTATTTGTCTCACATCTTGTGCAAGATTAAAGTGCTCATGGAAAGCTATCTCAATTTCAAAGCTCTAAAAGCCAGATAAAAAAATCTCTATATTCATTACTTCCCTAATAGGGTGGGAACACTGACCACAGAGAAAGGGCAATGGCACAGAGATGCAGAAACAAATGGAAAACACCAGTCAGTACAGAGCGTATATGAGAACAGAGAGTCAAAACAACAGCGAGATGCAGAAGATGTGAATTGGCAGAAGGCTTAGGATTCATAATCAAGGAACAAATCAAATTTTTCCTAACTCAAGTGCTCTGAGGAATGCAAATATGGCAGCAAACAAACTCTATAAGTAATTTTCCTTGTGTTATTATTCAATACCTATAGTTCAAGGTGCTTTGCTTTTAATTGGCTACCAGAACAAAATTTTCTATTAACAGTTGTCTTTTTCATCTTAACCCTACGAGGCAAGAGAAGCTGAAATAACAAGTAAGTCCTGTGGCATAGACAAAGCTACTCAGAAGTTCCACTTAAATGTTATTATCACACCCTCCTATCTACAATTCTCAGCTTTATTAATATAAGATAGAGTATTTCAACACCTAATAGTTAATTCTCAGTGCAGAAAATATTGAATGGAAGTTAGAGCATGCATTCCTACTCCTTCATCATAAAAGGGTTCTCTAAGTCCAATGAAACCAATGAAACCTCTTCAATATGCTTCTGTGATAGAGATCTATTACCGATATATATCAGCCACATTTTTCAGGAAGATGACGATAATAAAAAGGCAAGAGAACAATATTTTAAAAACAAGAGGCAAGACAACAGCAAGTACATAAAGGTAGGAGTTAGAAGAACACAGAAGCAGAAAACAGCATTAAGGATTTTCAAGTTATTCCCTCTTAAACTGGACTTAATCTAGATATGTATTTTATAATAGATCCAGTCATTTATCACAGACATTCATCAGAGAACTCATGTGAAAAGCTTAATCCTACATGAAAAAAAAAACAACTAGTTTAATACACAACTGTAAAAGATACATTTTAATACATAATTGTAAAAGAAAACTACCACATGAAGGAAAGCATTACATGCAAAAAGTCACCTTCAAAAAGTGGAAATCAGATTGAAATAAGGAAGTTAAATGAGTGGGTAACCATCACCAAATTTTAAAAATAAAATAAGGCAATATAAAAATCAGTTTTTAACGAGCAACATGCTTAAGCCATTAAGGAAAAAAAAATGTCAGAAACAAAGAAAGACTCCCAGATAATCACTGAGGGCAATAAATAATTAAGTGGTATGACTAGCAGATTCAGATTGGACATCAAAACTCTTCACAAAGAGGGAAGCGCAGCATCAGTAACAGGTTGCCCAGAAGGGATGTGGAATCTCCATCCTCAGAGGTATCAGGACTCATCCAGACAAAACCATGACGGACTGGATCTAGTGCTGTCAACAATTCTATTTTGAGCTGGAGCAGATGACCAACCAATGCTTCTACGATTCTACGTAGCATTCAGGAAAGACAGAATCACAATTGAAATTGCAAAGAAAATATTTCACAGCTGTTCTCTATGAAAGAGGTGTTACCATTCTATATTAGGAATGATTTTCTGAGACTAGTTTCTAACTGAAACGTGGCTACACATAAGTCAAGAGTTCTGGATTAACTGAAAAATAAAACTACTGACTTATTAATTGCTTAAATCAGCCTCAGTAAATGAGGAATAAAATCATAAAGTTACATCAATCTCCTTAAAAGGCTGTAAGGAGGCTTCCAAGATCTACAGACTAGTAGCCTTTTTCTGTACAGAACAAATTAACAGAAATGAAAACATGAGTTTGATATATTGGAAAAGATTGGAGGTTTTTTTGAAAAAAAAAATCATACTTCATTATTCTACTGCATTTCTTTAAGTCAGCAACATCTAGAAATATTGCATATACTGAACCAAATGGATGATCAAAAAGTCAAATCAAGAAGTACACACCTAACACCTGGAGAAAACCAATACTGACTATAGGTAGACAGTAATAAATCCAAAATCAGCTGTTATCACTCAAGAAAGAAGCTGTTAAAGCTGCTTCGTTCCTCCTAAAAATAATCTGAAAGCTCAGAGGCAGTTAAAAAGACAATATGTACACAGGAATTATTATTAGAAGAACTGAAGACTATAAAGAAAACATCATTCATTAAAAATGTCATCCCTTGCATATCAAAATTTTGCACAATTTCTGTATCTGGTTACCTTCTCTAATCGCAGAATCATTGAACGGTTTGGGTTGGAAAGCATCTTAAAAATCATCTAGTTCCAACCGCCCTGGCACGGGCAGAGACACCTCCCACTAGACTGGGTTGCTCAAAGCCCCATCCAGCCTGGCCTTGAACACTTCCAGGGATAGGACATCCACAGTTTCTCTGGGAAGCCTGTTCTAGTGTCTCACCACCTTCATAGAAAAGACTTTCTTCCTAATATCTAATCTAAATCCACCCTCCTTCAGCTTGAACCTGTTACCTCTCATCCTATCACTACACTCCTTAACAAAGTGTCCCTCCCCTTCTTTCCTGTAGCCCCCTTTAAGTACTGGAAGGCCACTATAAGGTCTTCCCAGAGCCTTCTCTTCTCCAGGCTTAACAACTCCAACTCTCTCAAGCCTATCCTCACAGAGGTGGTGGTTCAACCGCCCAATCATCTTCATGACCCTCTGGACATGCTCCACCAAGTTGGTGTCTTCCTTATATTGGGGGGCCGAAGAGCTGAACATAGGCGGAGTCTCATGAGAGCAAGTAGAGGAGGAGAATCACCTCCCTCGACCTGCTGGCCATGCTGCTTTTGATGCAGTTCAGGATGCGATTGCCTCTCTGGGCTGCGAGCGTACATTGCTGGGTCATGCTCAGTTTTTCATCCACCGACACTCTCAAGTCCTTCTCTGCAGGGCTGCGCTCAAACTACTGATTGCCTAGATGAGATCTCAAAGTGAGTAGAATAAGCAAAGATACAAATGAAAAGAGATCAAAAAAAACTTTTCCTATTTTGAAATAGATGACTAAGACAAATGAAATACATATCTATAAAATCACAAATGGTTTACAGAATGAGGATTCATTATTTCTCAAAATATAAGAAGGAGAAAACACTCGGAAAATTATCAAAAAGCAAATTTCAAAGCATGAAAAAGTACTTTCTCTATACACTACTTGTGTACACCCTTTGTGAACACTAAACATAATAACCCAGATGAAACTCTTGTGTTCAGCTTAGGTAGTCCAAAAACCATAAATAACTGGAACCTAGAAAAGTATATCACAGAAGCATCGTATTTCTTGACACTGGCTCCTGGTAATTATCAGAGATGATATTGTGCTAGATGAAAGCCTCACTTCATCTAGTAAGGCTGTTCTTACCAGAAATATAGGGAAACTCAAGTTTGATTGTGAGCAGATGGTAGCCACTTCCTGATGAAGCAGGTGAGATGCGTAGATTACTGCATACTAAGAGAAGCAAAGAGCACCAGTACCTTCTGCATAAATTTGTCAGGCTATAATAAGCAGCAGTAATGTCCATCCCATTTAGCTGCAGAAAACGTATGTCCCCAAAATTTCTCTTAATAGGGTAAAAAATTATGCCAGAAGAATAAATATAACTCTTCAAAATGAAGAAGTATCTGGCCAACTGAAGAATACAAGTCAAATGTTCTCCAAGAATCATCCCATGGAACCATTTGGAGCTGATAAAATATGGGGTTGATGGATGGACAATTCAGTGGATAAAGAACTGGCTTGATGACGGCACCCAAAGAGTGACTATCAATGGGTCCATGTCCAAGTGGAAGCCAGTTACAAGTGGAGTCCTTCAAGGATCAGTACTGGGACCAGTCTTGTTTAACATCTTCGTCTGCGACATGGACAGTGGCATTGAGTGCACCCTCAGCAAGTTTGCCAACAACATCAAGCTGTGTGGGGCGGCTGACACGCTGGAGGGTAGGGATGCCATCCAGAGGGACCTTGACAGGCTGGAGAGGTGGGTCCAGGCCAGTCTCATAAAGTTCAGCAACACCAAGTGCAAGGCACTCCATCTGGGTTGGGGCAACCTCAAGCACCAATATAGGCTGGGCAGTGATTGGCTTGTGAGCAGCTCTGAAGAAAAGAACTTGGGGGTGCTGGTGGATGAGAAGCTCAACATGAGCCATCAGTGTGCACTTGCAGCCCAGAAAGCCAATCGTGTCCTGGGCTGCATCAAGAGGTGCGTGGCCAGCAGGTCGAGGAAGGTGATTCTTCCCCT